CGCGGCGTGCGCGGGAGGAGGAGGAGGAGGAAGAGGAGGAGGAAGGGGAGGGGGAGCCGCGCGGCTCCGCCAGGTGATGAATATTTCATCCCCCCCCTCAAACCCGGCAGCTCCCAAACCCCGGGACCCCCCCACCCCAGGCGAGGGGCTGGGGGACAAGGGTGGCCCCACGGGGGGCACACACCGCGCAGGAGGGTAGGGGCTAGGGCAGCGCGCACAGGAGCGCGCCCGGGGACTCGCACAGCAATTACGGCGCGCTCACTCCTCGCGCTCCCTCGGGCCCGCTCGCTGCGGGCGAGGAGCGAGCTCTGGTCCGGGCGCAGGCTCCCACCGGCCCTTCACACCCCGCTGATGCCTCCTGCTCCGATGCCACAGGAACCTGGGAGGATTCCGCTTCCCCACTGCCAAATACCCCTCTTGGACACGGAGCGAGCACAGCCACAGCGGCCGCCCTCCCACACGCTCACCTCCACACTGGGGTCCGTGCTGGTCTGATGGGGCAGGAGGTGGTAATGAAGCCTCCCAAGCAGCTTCTGCTAATTAATTAGCCCAACGTGCAGTGCTGGTTGATCTGAATTGGATAAGGGTCTGCCCTAGGCCCCTGGAGAAGTGGGGGAAGCACCTGCTTGCTCCTGCAGGAAGCCTCTCCCTGGTGTAATGATGCTTCATGGAGCTTTCCCCACTTTTCCCAGTGCAGATGGCATTTCTAGGGGGAAAAAATTCCTGCAAGAACACCTGGGTGTAATGAGCCCTGTGCTTTGGGATGGCCCTGGGCATCCTGCCCCAAAACCAAGGGACTCCTTGGAAAAGGGGGCAACGCAAGGCAAGCTGGCATGCCAGGCTGCTCAGAGAGACGTGCCAGGCCCGGGCGCCGGCGACTCCTCTCACTTTGCACAGCTGAGGTCTCACTTAATGACACCCGTGATAAATCCAGGTCAGGGTTTCTATTTAAATAAAGGTGCGACTTCCTTATGCCTCATCGTGGCCCTCCTCGCGCAGCTCCTGCCCTTGGCTACGCGCAGGGCGCTACGCGTTTCCCACGCGAGGAGCTCCACGAGCTGTGGGGATTCTCCGCTGTCTGATATCAGGCTGGGCCCGTGCCGCTGTGGGATGTGTCTGCCGAGGTCTGCGGGAATGGATACCGCATGTCCTACATCTCCCTGTCAAGCTTGCTTAAAATCAGCGAGTCCAGGAGTCGTTCCGGGGGCGTGAACGCTCACCGTGGACATCTTCATTTCTTTAGGCTCAAAACCCCTGCAGTTGCGGTGTGCATGTGAGAAGGGAAGAAGATGAGGCCCTGGCAGGAGATTTTGGGTGGAAAACGGGATGAGGGAGAGACAGGGAAAAGACCACTGCCGTTGTGTTTGAAAAGCTCAGCCACCAGCAGGGAAGAGAAAGGGGGATAAAATGAATATATTGCAAATAGAGGAGCGCGCTCGCTTGTCATTCAAACCAGCGGCCATAGCAAGCAGAGCGCACGGGAGCGAGCCGGAGTGCGACAACCTTCCCGCGCCACCCGCCTGCCTCCCTCCACGGGCTCGTTACCAGGAACCTTTTTCCGAGGCAGCTTCCGTGACATTCCCGCCGCGGCCGCTCGCTCGGCCTCACACGCTCAACCCCTAAATTGCACCGCCGGGCGTCTCCCATCGCCTTCCCCATCTGCAATAGGACGGGTTTTTGTCCCCAAGTCCTTTTTCCTTTTGGGGCTGGTGACTTCTCGTTGTCCAAGCCCGTGCCACGGGCTGGCTTGGCCCTCAGTTCCCCCTCGCCGCAGGAAAAGGTGCCATCTACAGGCACCGCGTCCGTACGGCAGCTCTCGTGCCAGCCCGACCGCGCTGCATTCGCCCTCCCGGCCCTTCCTGCAGCTTGGCGGGATGCTCTTCTCCCGCAGCTCTTCCCACTTGCTGCTGGAGCCAGGGACTTCACACATCCTAGAGCAAATTGCATCCTGGAGCAAATCCCTGGGAAAAATGCACCCCACAGCTCCATACATCCCGGAGCAAAATGCATCCTGCAGCTCCATGCACCACAGAGCATAACACTTCCCGTGGCTCCATGCATCCCACACCAAAATGCATCCGACAGCAAAATGCATCCTGCAGCAAAACGCATCTCAGGGCTTCATGCACCACGGTACAAACTGCATCCTGGAACAAAATGCTTTCTGGAGCTCCATGCATCGTGGATCAAAATGCATCCTGCAGCTCCAGGCAACCTGTGGCTCCATGCATCCTGCAGCAAAATGCAGGCTGGAGCAAAACGCATCCCAGAACAAAGCACATCCTGCAGCTCCATACATCACGGAGCAAAATGCACCCCATGGCTCCATGCACCCTGGAACAAAATGCACCCCTCAGCTCCGTGCGCCCTGCAGCCGAGGGGATGCCCACCTCTTCCTGCACTCACACCAGCCTCGGAGCTGCTCCCTTTCCCAAACATCCCAAGCCTCCTGCTTCCTATTAAACGCATCCGTCACCAGCGCGGCGGGCTGCAGCTCGCAGGTACGCAGCCTGCCCCGCCACGGGCTGATAAATTAGGAGGAAAACTTCCCTCGCTCCGCTCGCTCTCGCGGCGCCGTCCGACAGCGTGCGAGCCTGGCGCAGCAGGAGCGCCAGCCCTTCGCCATCTGCTCCGAGCCTAATTACCGATGCAGAGAGACACCGGGCTCCACAATTGCACCAGTAAATGCTGTAAATGATTTAAATGCACGCGTATGTTCCCTGCAGAATTCAGCATGCATCTGCGACCCCACCTCCTCGCACGAGGCACGCAAATCAAGGGGAAAAATACCCAAAGCTGACGAACAGAACGTCCCGAGGATGGTGATTTTTATCCCTCCCCTCTTTTTTTTTTTTTTCCCCTCTCCGTGCTGGAATGCAAACAGGGCTTTTTTGGAATTACCTCAGCTGCACTTTGTTCGGGTGCATTTTAAAAAACAGTCCATCACTGTCGTGTAAATATAGTACATATCACCCCACAAAAACGCTGGCGGTGCCGTTCCCGAGCAGTGTTTTACCCAGAGCAGCTCAGCCCATCTGTGCTTAGACCCTTATTGCAGGGGGCAAGAGCAGCGTGTGACCAACGTGTTATCCCTGCCGGCTCCCACTGCAAGGAGGCCTCCCCTGCACCTTATTTTTATAATATATGTTTTCCTTCTCCTCCAGCAGCATCTCTGGAGTGAGACTGCACTGAGGCAGGGGGAAGCATCACTGAAAGGCAAAACGGGAGGTTCAAACTCCATGCGGATACCCAGGTCAGGATCCCATGAGCCCTCTGAGAGGGCAAAGAGCCTCAGCAGGGTCTATAAGTGTTTCCCTTTCAAAACTCTTTATTAGCAGTGGTATCGGACGATGGGCCTGAGTCTCAAGAGGAAACCAGCCCCTTCCCTCCGTACATCATGGAGCAGTCCATAAAACCAGCACGGAGCACAAGGCTTCTCCCTTTAAAGGCCTTCAGCTCCGCCTGGACTCAAGTATTGCAAACCCTTTTCCCTTTAAATCCATTTGAAGCCAAAGACCTAAGGACTGCAAACCCACTGGCACAAGAAGAAATGTCCTGTCACACTCAGCCCCAGGTGTTTCCATCTCGGAAAGAGCGTCCCATTTGCTGGCAAGATGCCGTTGCATCCGCAGAAGGGCAGCATCCAAGTGTCGAGCGAGATATAGTAATTCTCGCCGTCTGCGGATACGGGATGGGGAGGAAAGAACGGGCAGAACTGAGGACTTCCCTGAGTGAAGATGGTCTGAGGGACCTTCTGAACGCAAGGACACCTGGCCCCTGCTATATGAGGTGGACAACGAGGACGGAGCAGGCGGAGCCCAGCGCCAGCCCCAGCATGAGATAGAAGGTCATGACCACGCCGGCCGCCTCGGCCAGCTCTTTGGGCACGATCTTGGGGCCGTAGACCATGGCGAGCGTGCCCAGATAGCCATTGCTGAGCCCCAGCAGCGCCGTGAAGGCCACCGGGTACACGTCCCAGTTGAAGAGCACGGTCTGGAGACGAGTCCGCGGCTGGAAGTTGCTCAGGATGAACAAGGGCAGCGCGAGGGTCCTCAGGAGGACGAGCGCGGGCAGCAGCCGGCTCTTCGGCCCTGGCGCCTGGATCCAGGCGGTGATCTGCCTCCCGCACCAGTCCGCAAAGTTGTACACCAGGAAGCTCGTCAGCGGCACGAAGTACTTGCCAGTCCACGGGCTGCCCGAGGACCTGTCGACGGACTCGATGTTGGAGGAGAGTGAAGGGAAAACGATGATGGAGATGAAGAAGACGTAGAAGACGCAGAAGCCGAGCACAGCGGTCTTCCTCAGGATGGGCCGCAGCGGAGGGATATCCAGAGCACCGGTCCTTTTGGCTAAAAACGAGTTGCCCACAGCTCCTTGGGAGCCTTCCCCTACAGAGTTGCTGGGCAGCCCTGCTGCTGGATACGGGGTCTCCCTGCGCCTTTGCATGTAGTACCTGGAAGAGGAGGAAGAGGAGGGAAATCATTAGTCAACAGCTAAAAACTCCGATTCAAAGAGGAAGCTGCAGAGTTTTTGGGGCAGAAAACACGGTTATCGGTGCTCAGTGCACTGGTGGAGCATCTGCAGGTGGGGGGAAGGCAGCCCATGCCGTTACCTGGAGTACTCCAGCCTGGGAAGCAGCAGGTAGACCATGATGCAGACCACGATGAAGATGTCCGCCGTGAGGAAGTAGGCCAGGGCGCTGTCGGTGACGTCGGCCGCCGCTGCCAGGTCGATGACGGAGGCGACGGCGCTGAGCGTGCCGCCCATGGCCTGGCCTGCGGAGGGGACAGTGCAGCGTTGGCACCACAGAGATGGCCACAAGCCACCTCCAGCAAGACAGGGACGCTGCAGCGGGACCACCCAGACCTGGAGCATCCTCTTGCTGAGCATCTCCTGGCCTCCCCAGCTTCACCTACTGCCTCTGCTCTGCCCACGGAGGTGCCGAGTCCTGCAGAGGAGAAGGGCTGAACCTGCCCCAACCCGCACCCGTCTCTCCACCACCTTCTCTTCATCCCCAGACGGGATCTCAAGCCACTGGCAACAAGGCTCATCCCCTTCTGCCAAGCAAGCAGGGATGTAGTAACGTCCCCCATGGGTTAAACTCATTAAAACAGTCCTGTCTTGGCCTGGGGAAAATGTTTCTCTGTCTCTGTCTTGACTTTTTTTTTTCACCCCCCTCGTTTCCCTCTGGGTTTCTCAGCCGTTCTCCAGCACATTTATAATGTTATCACCACCAGGCAAAGCTCCGGGGAGCTCATCACTCACGGCTCCCAACATGTCCCTCGTCACTCATGGAGATGAATGCAAATGCCGAGCGGAAAAGGGGAGAAAACACAAACTTTGAGATTTGCCACGGTGCCGGCATGGGCACTACAAGGCATTGTGTCCTTCTCGCCTTCCCCGTGGAAAAAATACAGGGATCCCACCCATGCCATCGGTCCCAGGGGCCTGAGGGACATCAGCCCCAGGATAGGGGCTCCTTTTCGCTGTGCAGAGGCCCCTTAGCACTTCTTTAAGTGGAACTCAGCAGCTCACTGGGCACTTAGAGAAACAGTTCATGTGACCGACCATGTTTTAGGCAGCAACTTCCCTTTATTTCGCCCCACGAGCTTTTTTTTTTTTTTTTTTAAAGGCAAAATTAAGTTTCTAAAATAGACACCATATGACGAAATATCCAAGTGAGGAAAAATAGAAAACCCAAGAGAGCAAAGAAAACCCCCCAACATGATCCCAGCAAGTCACAGCACAAAGCGGAGCCCAACAAGGACCATGCAGGCGAGATTGCCACCTCCTGGAAGCAAACCTACCAGAGATCAAGGCCTGGGAATTCTTCATGGGGAAGCGGCTCGTCAGGCCGAAGATGCTGCTGGAGAAGACGGTGGAGGCGCCGCTGACTACCACGACACAGACGATGGTGACGGCGAAGAAGCCCGTGGTCCAGGCTGACGTGTCCACCTTCACCAGCACCGTGATCACCAGGAAGACAGCCAGCATCACAAAGAGGGAGGACAGGATGCGGACGCTGGCAGGCACCCTAGGGAAAGGCATCAGGGTCTTCCTGACTCTTCTCCCCACTCTTTTTGGATACTCTGGAGTCAGGCCATTGGGTAAAAGATGCTGGGGACCTACCTGTTGAGAAGCAAGAAGTTTCCCACCAGGCAGAGCACCGAGGGCAACGTGGAAGCGATGGAGATGTAACTCTCAAAGAAGTCCTGCAAAGAAAGAGATGAATAAATGGACGAATAAGGAAGAAAAACGCACCCAGGACACATCCCCCAGCCCATCTGCACGGACGGCTTTTTTCCCCTGAAAAATCCCCACCAGCAGCTAGAAGCAGCCTTGCAGCAGAGATGGCTAGACAACCATCGGGCTCAAAAAAAAAAAAAAAAAAGGAATAAAAAGGAAAAAAGCAATTTGGGTCCATGGCAGCAGCTCGAGGTGCTAGAGCGTTACCTGGGTTGCAGGGCATGAAATTAGCCGCTGCGAGCGTGCCGGCCAAGCGCCGCGAATTTGCAGGCCACCACCTTGCAGTGAGGTGCTACGAACCCTCCCAGGGTGACTTTTCTCCTCCCACTTATAGGAAAAATAAATAAATAAATAAAAAGGAAATGAAAAAAGAAAAAAAAAAAAAAAAGAAAGGAATTTTAATGGGCTTCTGCAAGAGCGCGCAGGCCGCGGGCGCCTGTGCAGCGGTGGCGCCCAGCGGCGCGCTCCACGCGCTCCAGCGCTGGCACGCCACCAAGGCAGTAAACAACCTCGGCGAAAGGAAGGCCGGGAAGCAAAACACAGATCGAGTCGGAAGAGGGCAGCATGGCCTGGGGAAGAGATGCCCTGGCAGCGCGAAAGGAAGGGGGACGGGTTCAGGCCACCAGCGGAGCCGTGAAAACTCCCTTGTCCCCCTAGACCGTGGGCCGGGTGTTTAGATACCGTAAAGCATCCTAGTGGGTCGGGATCATTCAGAGCTCGGTGCTCTTAATTGCCACCGTGCTTACAAGAACAGGGGGGACGAGGCGGGCAGCGTCACACTCACGCGGAGGTCAGCTCCATGAGCCGCCGGCTCAGGCTGCTCGGAGCAGTTCTGCAGCTTGAATGCCCAGTACTGCTTGGCCGTGATGAAGAAGTTCCAGGGGAGCAGGGAACCGATGCCCAGGATGAAGAAGATGATATAGGCCCCATTGAGGTGGTCGCCGGGCTTCGGGAGGCGCTGGGAATCCAGCGACGGCTCCTCGAGCAGCGGCTCCTCTTCCCGGAGGGGACTGGGGGGTGGTGGCTGGAAGG